TGAGCTGAGACGTGTAACATATTACTTACTTCTTGCTCTGGCTTTATGTATTTGTATTTATTTTTGCTTATTTCTATTCCAAATTATTTTAATTAACTTATGATTTTTATGGTTTTTAGTCAATTTAATTTCAAAACGTATAATTGTATCCATTTTATTTCTTATCTGTTTTTGCCTGTAAATTATACAATTAGTTTTTTAATAGCTTGTGTTGAATTTTATCTTTTTCTTTCAAAATTATGTTCTTGTTTAGCTTCAAATTTCTCTTCCTTAATATACTTTTGCTGCTTCAGTTTTTATTTTGTTTTTAATCTTTATGTGAAATATTTCTTAAATACAATTTTAGTGCATTTTTTATATATATCTCAATGTGAAGTTGATCGTTTTGTTTAAAAAATGCTCGTTTTTTTCATTAATTTTTTTTATCTTTGTTTTCTATACAGTACATTTCAATAAAATGTAAATTTATTTAGAAAATATTTTATAGGAATTATAATTTAGTTTTTATTGTTCTTTTCTCGCAGTATGTTGATTAATATGTTAACCTCAATGTTTTCTTTTCATTAAGATTTAATGCGCTTCTTTATTTAAATAGATATCTTGCATTTTTCTGGTCTTTATTCTTTATTTTTGATACTGAGGCGTGTCCACCCGCCGCCATGTTGTCCAGTGACGTCACCAACCAGGAAGTGAGCTCGCGGGTCTCTGTGGCAGCGGCTGAGGCTCGCGTACCAAAACAGCTCTTCTTCCTCCTCATCATCATCATCATCCTCCGCCTCCTCCTCTCGGACCATGGACCGGTGAGAACAGGGCCCGTCCCGAACCTTCCCGAACCTTTCCGAACCCCTCTTCTCGTGCTTCCCGCTGGCTGAACCCCACCTGCAGCCCCCGTCCCCCTCCTGGTTCCGCTGTTGTTTACCTGCTGTTGTTTACCTGGCCCTGCTGGCGCTCGCGCTCCTTTCTCGGTTCGGAGTTCGGTGAACAAACAGTGTTGGGTTGACTGGCTTAAAATCTCGCGATGCTTCGCCCTCAGATGACAATATAGATGTAACTGGAGACCAGTTTGAACCAGTTAGACAGAAAACATCCGGGTCCTGGAGGTTTCTGATCTGACTGGGTTCATAACCCTTAGCTGGTTCCGGTTCCGGTTCGGACCTGACTGTCAAAGAACGTTCTCCAGGACCACAGAACTGAACCGGAACCTCTCTGTGGGTCTGCTCGTTAACAGGCAGCAGGTGAATAAAGTGGTTCCGACCCGTGTGGGCGGAGTCACCACCTCGACCAGGTGAGCTGTTGCAGGAAGCGTGGCCGGTTCTGGTTCTGAAGTTTCAGTTAGGTCTCAGTCACCTGGTCAAAGTGGGTCCAAACCCACTGCTGCCGGTTGTGAGGAGCCGAACTGGAGAGGAACTGGATCCTCATCGACCCACCTGAGTCTGGTCCAGGAAGCAGGATTACCTGACTGATCAGAACCCGATCAGAGTCTGACTGAAGGTCTCCTGCTGATGCAGTCAATGACTCACCTGTATGTTTACCTGCAGGAGTCAACGCTCAGATCACCTGTTGGTTGCTGTGAGAACATGAGCTCCGCCCACCTGTCCACAGGTGAGTCGTCCATCTTCAGCCTCCTTCTGTCCTCTGGGATACTGTCTTCACCTTCAGGTGTCTCCTCACGTGTTACTTTGTTTCCAGTGGATGGCACTGATAGGTTGTGTGTTTCTGAGCGCGCTCAGTGCGTCCCTTCTCCAGTGCTGCACCTGCGGCAGCTACCTGCTGACACCTCTGAACAGGAAGTGGTCGACCTGGCACTTCCCTTCGGCAGAGTCTCCAAACTGATCACATTGAGGACCAAAAACCAGGTAACTGGTCCCATTAGAGCCAAAACCAGGTAACTGGTCCCATTAGAGCCAAAACCAGGTAACTGGTCCCACTGGACCCAAAACCAGGTAACTGGTCCCATTAGATCCGTCCTGTTTTTACTGAAGGATTGTAAGAAATAATAATAATAATAATAATAATTGATCTGGTTTTGGATCCATTGATAAATCTTTTTTTATTCGTTTTTTCAGGCGTTTCTTGAGATGGCGTCGGAGGAAGCAGCCGTTACCATGGTGAACTACTACGCCTCAGCCCCGCCCACCATCAGGAACCAGCCAGTCTTCATTCAGTACTCCACCCACAGAGAGCTGAAAACAGACAATCTGACCAATCAGGTGAAGAGGAGCCTCTTAGGCCCCGCCCACTGTATTGTGAGCAACAGAGTGGGCGGAGCCTCAGCTAGTAATCTGTCTCCATACCAGCAGAGGGCGCTGCAGGCCATCAGCACGGCAGCAGTGCATTCTGGGAGCCTGGCATCGTCAGAGGGGCGGGGCTTAATCCCGGCGCCCAGCGCGGTTCTGAGGATCATCGTGGAGAACCTGTTCTACCCAGTGACCCTGGAGGTCCTGCAGCAGGTCGACAGGCTGCTCCGCTCTTACAGTTGGCCTGGTTGACTGGTTGTTTGTTTAATTATGTTTTTATTTGTTTGTTTTTGTGCTGCTGCTCAGATCTTCAGTAAATTCGGCTCCGTCCTGAAGATCATCACCTTCACCAGGAACAACCAGTTCCAGGCTCTGCTGCAGTTCAGCGACGCCGTCCACGCTCAACACGCCAAGGCGGTGAGTCGCACTCACACTGATGCATGTAGAGCGGGCGGCCTGCAGAGGGCGCCGCCCACCAACCAGCTGCTGTGTTTCAGTCTCTGGATGGCCAGAACATCTACAACGGCTGCTGCACGCTGCGCATTGACTTCTCCAAACTGAGCGCGCTCAACGTCAAGTACAACAATGACAAGAGCCGCGACTTCACCAGAGCCGACCTGCCGAGTGGAGAGCTGGACCCGGCCGGCGCCGCCGCCTTTGGTGGGTGGAGCCTGCCGCACTTCCCTGCCCAGCCAGCAGGCGTCCGCTCTGGCTGACTGTCTGTGGGCGGGGCTTCTGCTCCACCTGTGTGTGTTTCAGGTGTAGCTCTGCCACCATACGGAGCCGCAGCGTTCCCGCCCTCCTTCCACCAGCACACGGGTGAGTCACATGACCTCCAGGTGGGCGGGGCATCGATCACCTGCAATCAGACACTATGACATCACTCAGGATATTCAAGCAGTTAGCTGCAGTTTGTTGTTTGAGCCACTACATGTCACTGCACTCCAAACAGTTTATATTATTACAGTAAATCAAAATGATTTCATAGAAGTTTTTAAATGTGTAAAAACTTCAAAAGATTTTCTGTGAATTTAAAAATGATCAGAAGGTAATTCCATTTAATTTATTCTGATTTTAATTTCATAATCACTGGGAGAAATTTCTTTATTAATGTCTGATGTGAAAGTAATTCAAGTAAAGGATATTATTTAATTCTAAACTCAGTTCGTTGGTGAATGTCTGACCCTGCTCCACCAGGGGGCGCCACCAGGTTACTGTCTCACCTGTGCCCGCGTCCCCAGGTCTCCCCGTGGGGGCCGTCCCCGGCTCGCTGATGTCCCCTCCTCGCATGGCGCTGCAGGTGGCACCCCCTGCGGGCTACTCGGTGCTGCTGGTGTCCAACCTGGACCCGGAGGTGAGAGATCACGCGGTAACGCAGCAGCTAACCAATGGCAGCGCAGCGCTCTGACCTACGTGTGTTTGTGTCCACAGAGAGTTTCCCCCCACTGCCTCTTCATCCTGTTTGGTAAGACTGGCTGCCGTCATTCCGGCTGCGCCCAGCAGGGGGAGCCTGACCTGCGATCTGTGTTTCAGGAGTTTACGGCGACGTCCAGCGAGTCAAGATCCTGTTCAACAAGAAGGAGAACGCGCTCGTCCAGATGAGCGACGCCACGCAGGCGCAGCTCGGTCAGAATCAGCTCTAATAAAATATATTTATTGTCTCTAAAATTCAGTTGTGTTTTCATAACCGGATCCTGGTTGTGCTGGTTTTATTGAGTGACACAGTTTGTCTATAAGTGGACGATTTATTCTGACGAGAACAGAACAATTACATTTGTGGAATAGTTTTCCTTTCTATATTTGTCCTAAATATATTTAATAAAGTTTTATTATTTTAATTTTGTAAATATTTTTAATTTGAATTTCTTTTATTAGTTTGAATTTTTTCAACATATTATAATCATAAAGATTTATTTATTTCTTATATTTGTGGATGATATTCAGGTTTTTATATTCTCTCGGCAGCGATGAGCCACCTGAACGGCCAGCGTCTCCATGGAAACGTGATCCGGGTGACCCTGTCCAAGCACCCGGTGGTGCAGCTGCCGCGCGGGGGGGCGGGGTCAGAGGAGCAGACGCTGACGCAGGACTTCTCAGGCTCCGCCCTCCACCGCTTCAAGAAGCCCGGCTCCAAGAACTTCAACAACATCTTCCCTCCGTCAGCGACGCTGCACCTGTCCAACATCCCGTAAGGCCCCGCCCACTTCCTGTCTGCTGGGCCCCGCCCACTTCCTGTCTGATGTCTGTTGTCTCGTCCTCACAGTGTGTGTTTTTGGTGCATTGTCAGGACTGTCTTCCTGTGTGTGTCCAGGTCGTCGGTGGGTGAAGACGCCCTGAAGGACCTGTTCTCCTCCAGAGGTTTCGCTGTCAAGGCCTTCAAGTTCTTCCAGTACGTACAGCTTCAAGTCTTCCTGTGTCTTGTTCATGAGAGGTGATGTCACTTCCTGTGATCCCCAGGAAGGACAGGAAGATGGCGCTGCTGCAGCTGGCGTCGGTGGAGGAGGCGGTGGAGGCGCTTATCGCCCTCCACGACCAGCAGCTGGACCACAACCAGCACCTCCGCGTCTCCTTCTCCAAGTCCACCATCTGACCCCTCCCCCGCAGCCCAGCGGCCAATCGGACGGCAGGGCCTCCCCGCGGCCCACGCTGAGGGGGGTGGACCGGCGGCCGGGCCGGGCCTTGTCGCCATGGTTAAGGATGTTCCTGAGCACATTCCTGAGCGGCAGCAGCGGAGCATTGTGGGTAACGGAGTCAGGACCAGGAGAGCCGGAAACTCGTGCAGATGTTTTGGTTCCTGCTGAAACCTTTGAACTGAAACTGTTTTATTTGAACTCTTCATCGTCGTCCTGCTGCTGTCTGACCATCATCATCATCATTTTGTTATTATTCCTGCTGTGGATGTTCGGGCTCTCCGTCTTTTGTGCCTTATTTTTCAGATTTTCTTACGGCCTGTAGGGGGCGCTTTGTGTGACTGTCTGGTGTGTTTCTGCTGTTCTGGGAGGTTTTTAACGTCGGCTCTATTTATACTGTATAACGTGATGCTGTTGAAGCCCCGCCCACTTGTGTGTGTGTGTGTGTGTGAGGTCATATGTTGAAACCTGAGCAATGATCCATCTGGCCGGCTCAGGGGTCAAAGGTCAGCACCACTTCCATGTCTGGAGGGATTAAACCAAGTCAACGTTTCTGTGCCTTAATTCAGGCAACCTGTTCTGATTATGACATCACTTATCAGGTTCTGGTCAGGCCCGGTGAGACCGGAACCGGACTGAAGAACTTTCCAATTGCTTCTTATTAATCTCAGATTTATTTCCTGCGGAGACAAAAACACTAAAAGCTGTTAAATGTGGAGAAACAGGAAGTTCACCAATAATAAATCTGCTTTAATGAACCAGGAAATAAATAGAAATATGACGCTACATGCAAGTAAAACAGGTTTTATCACTTTCTTCACTGTAATATGACCTAAATAATCTGGATTATCATAATCCATTTTACCATCTGGTTCTGAATCAAGTTCAGTTTTAATACGAATAAAAACTGATGTTCTGTCATGAATAAAAATAATTTGTAAAAGAAAATATTTACAGATATAGATGTGAAAATGATTATATTTTGTGGCCTCCTGAAATTATTTTATTTAATTCATAATTTCACTACTGTTTCATCTGTCTCAGCCTGCTGGGCTTTTATTTTGAAACTTTGTGAATGCGTCTGGTGAATGTGACATCATTGTGGGCGGGGCCTTGTTGCATGATGGGGGGGCGGGTCAGTCTGGACTCCAACACAAAGTTTGTTAAATCTTTATTTATTCTGAAGGTGTGACAGGAACTTGGAGCATGAATAAATAAATAAACCTTACAACCAATGGCTGCCGTGCGTCTGTCAAAGTCCCGCCCACAGCCTCTCCCATTGGCCAATCACAGCGTGATTGCTGACTGGAAACGGATTATTGTCCTGGTCCGTGATTGGTCCGTTTACAGCAGGGGTTTTTAACAATGAAAAACAAAATATACAAAAATACTCAAACATTCAGACGGGGTTCATCCGACAGTTGATGATGTCATCACCAAACGCCCGAGGCTCAGCACGCACACACACACACAGCATGACGGACTGCAGCTGCAGAGAAATATGTCGCCTTTCCTTGTTTTGGTCCGGTTCTGTTGAAATGTTTGGACCTTCAGAATAAAGGAATCATTTAATTAACAGATCTGCTGGCCTCTGATTGGTCGACTGCTCGTTAGGAGCCGGGCGCGGCATCTCAGTAACTTCTCCAAGTAACTCAATTTTTTTCTCAGACCCATAAGCCACATAACCACCAGGAGGCGCTGTAAATCACATCAGTTGATTAGAAGTGCATCAGATTTCCTGTGGATGTCAAAGTAAAAGTCTTGTAGCTGCTCTGATTTCCTGGAAGTTAAAAGCAGTGAGGACCAATGAGAAGTCAGAGTGGCTGGTACTCTGTCCTGATTGGCTGATCAGAGCTCAGGTGTGTTGTTCTTCGGTGCTGTGCTGTGATTGACTCGTTTTATTTTTAGCACCAACAGAAACATAAATAGTTAAAAAACACACACACACACACACACACTGCGCCTCATATAAAACCATCAGTCTCTGCCGCCTCTGTAACAGGCGGGCGGCTGGTAACCATGGTAACTACACATCCAGGATCTCCTCGGCAGTGCCGCCGCAGCGGAGCCGGTACCGACCCGTTCTCCAGCTGATGGTGGGGTCCCACAACGCCGACAGGAAGATCTGCACCGACATGGACTCCCTGATGAACCACGCCACGGCGAAGTCCAGCTTGGAGAAGCTCAGGGCGCCGCCCTGCAGGGAAGGTCATCAGTCAGCCAGCCCATCACAACGCCAACACTCACCCTTTGACCTTTGACCCACCTGGACTCCTGTCAGCTGTATGTAGTCGGCGATGAACCAGGCGAGGCAGTGACACATGAAGAAGACCATCATGTCCCACCTGCAGCACACAGACCAATCAGAAAAGAGAGCCTCCAGCCGCGACTCCAAGCCCCGCCCCCGCCCTGAGATTGGCCGTACCTGAAGACGTGGTGTGCGGCCCAGCCGATGATGAGGCTGGCCAGGAAGCACTCAGAGACGGGCTCCAGGACGGTGGCGGGAACCATGTTGATGCGCAGCTTGGTCCACCTGGTTCAGAAAATTTATTAACACGCCGCTACAGACATGCAGCCAATCAGGCGCCGGCCTGCCGCTCACCTGATCATGCGGGACTGGAACTGTCCAATGGAGTAGGAGCCGGAGTTCTGCAGCGCCACCTGCGTCGCCATGGAGAACTTCCATCCTCTGAGGAGGAAGCAAGAGGAGGGCTGAAGCGGGTGCTAATATCAACGTTCTAATGCCGACATGCTAATATCAACGTTCTAATGCCAACATTAGCATGTTGCTAATAATATTCTAATGCCAACATGTTAACGTTCTAATGCCAATATTCTAATGCCAATATGCTAATGCCAATATGCTAATGCCAACATGCTAATAATGTTCTAATGCCAACATGCTAATAATATCAACAATCTAATGCCAACATGCTAATAACGTTCTAATGCCGACATGCTAATAACGTTCTAATGCCGACATGCTAATAACGTTCTAATGCAGACATGCTAATAACGTTCTAATGCAGACATGCTAATATCAACGTTCTAATGCCGACATGCTAATATCAACGTTCTAATGCCGAAATGCTAATATCAACGTTCTAATGCCGGCATGCTAATATCAACGTTCTAATGCCGACATGCTAATATCAACGTTCTAATGCCGACATGCTAATATCAACGTTCTAATGCCAACATTAGCATGTTGCTAATAATATTCTAATGCCAACATGTTAACGTTCTAATGCCAATATTCTAATGCCAATATGCTAATGCCAACATGCTAATAATGTTCTAATGCCAACATGCTAATAATATCAACAATCTAATGCCAACATGCTAATAACGTTCTAATGCCGACATGCTAATATCAACGTTCTAATGCCAACATGCTAATATCAACGTTCTAATGCCGACATGCTAATAACGTTCTAATGCCAACATGCTAATAACGTTCTAATGCCAACATGCTAATAACAATCTAATGCCAACATGCTAATAACAAT